GTATATACACATGACATTTGCGCAGAGTCTGTCGAATCCCATTTGAATCCAGCCTCGACAACAATTTACATTATTTCCATGCTAACTCAGCCCAAAAGCTGCTACCACCACGCGGCAAACAATCCCTTTATCTTTCTCGAAATCTCTCTAACCCAATTCGACGAAATCTCTCTTTCTCTCTCTCACTCTCTCTCTCTCAAAAAAAAAACTTCAAACAGCACTCAGAACTCGGTTTTGAAACATACAAAAGTGCAAAAAGTACGAAAAGTATCGATCTTCTCCTCTCTCTCTCTTTCTCTCTCAGCCCGTATATAGCTGCTACATTTCCATCGTATATTTGCTTTCATCCGAACCGATACCGTTGACAAAAATACGTTTGGAAAAAAATATATATTTGGAAAAACGATGTTTTGCATGTCCCAGTGAACGATACGCTTTTCCCTCTCCCGTTGTGCATCTTCTTCGATTTGCTCGGCGATTCGTTCGGAGACTAAACGAACGAAGGAGTTTGCACGAGGGAGATCGACGCATTAGAGAGGATGGTGATGGTGACGGTGACGCCGGTTGAAGGAAAGTTGAAACGAGCAAGCACACACAACGGCCACGAGAGCACTGGCCGTGCTCTGTTTGGCGACGGCCGGATGCACGAGGGTAGCAGACCACATCACTCGTCGACCCGACCGGATGCGTCGACATTGAAATACAAGCGAGCACTCGGCCTCTCGCTGCCCTCCCCCTCCCCTACCCGCTTCGCTCGCTCTCGTGCCCGCTTCTGTTGATGCGCTGACCCGCTCGTTCTGCAAGCTCGCTTCTTCCTGCTGGGTCGAATCTTCCTGAACGTTTACGAGATCGATAGCGGCCGAAAACCAAACGATTAACCGGAAGCAATAGGATCGTTAGACTAGACACAGAGCTGGAGATATACTTGCACGCTCGATGAAAAATTGTAGATATTTTAAAACATTTTTACTTTAAACTGTCAAATTATATCGATATTTTCAACTGTTTAAACTTTATGAAACGAAATCGTACGACAATTCAGTTGGCCTCGTTTCAAAGCGCGAAAACTCTGTTCTTGTGTCAACCTCGAGCACTTCTTTTTCGAAGATGATTTCGCATCGTGCAGCAGGTAGGAAAGCAAGGACTGATAGAAATTTGTACGCTTCCAAAATGGCAGGGATATTTTTTTCGTAAGATCTATCATAATCCTGAAATCTCCCCTTTAAATTTGCTGTACGATTTTTTGTTTGTTATTCTATTTGTAATTCACGAAATTCTGACATTTTGTCATTTAACTTTAGTGTTTAAAGTTCAACAAAAGTTCAAAACAAAAAAAAAAACAAAAAAATTCCACAGCAAATTTTTAAAAGTTTTAAAGAGGAACTTTCAGTCTCCAGAATCCTGATAGAATTAGTTATAAAAAGAAAAAACGTTCAGCCTTTACAGAGGCATTTGAATTTTTAAAGTTTTTGATAACGAAAGTATCCTTGACTATGTCAAGTAAATTTTAATGGAAGAAACCCGGTACAAAGACCTGATAGTTCTTTGAATTCTCAAGATTGGAGCAAAATGTTTTTTGTAGCTCTGCGTGATCGGTTAGGTTCTCTGTATCCCTTCTATACCTTAACGTCCATAGTTTCCAGAAACCCTCATGTTCCTTGGCAATTGCTGATATCCCTTGGATCCCACGATTCTCAGTGACCCCTAAGACGTTTATGCTAGATTCCATGTATCCAGACTCCGGCGTCGTATCTCACGGATTCACAGATGAATTTTCCACCGAATATCATCGGTCCACTATCGTCCGTGGCAGATCGTGCACGAACAAAATTTTCCATCGACGAATATCAAATCACTCGCGTGGAAACTTACGATTCTCGATAGCATCGGCAATAAATATTGTCAACAACGACAATTCGTATAATTTTTGTTGTTTGCGCGACGAACGAGATCTTGATTTTGCTCACTTCGATCACGTAAACTTTATAATCGTATTTTCATGCGATGTGACGTTAATGCAATCGTTCGTTAATGTTACTCGAAATTTACAGGTGTGTGATTTCGATAATAGGCCACAAGTGATACACGGAGTATACCGAATACTCCTTACTTCGTCAGTTTCTCGCTGTTTCTCTTCAATTCGACCTTGATCTGTGAAACGCGAATCTTTGCCCTCTAATTTCCAAAAACTCCTCGACGATCTACGATTAAATTCACCTGATGCAAAAATACTTTGACTGGTTGTACCACAATTTCAAGAACACCTCAGATAAAATTACCAAGCAAGTTTTATCACCCGAAATATTGATCGCTCATTAATTATCAACCCTTGAATTAAACGCACTTTACGAAATAAAACCCAGTGTTTTCATATTCATAAGAAACATAAACGAATGCAAAACGAAGATCGACGAACGTTCTCGAAGCTGACAAAGGTTTCAGCTTCGGACCATGCGTTTGATGGCAAGATAGATCTCGTTCGGCCTTTCGGAGTGTTTTACCGCGTCGTTTGCAATAAGATTTTCGCAAGAAGCAAGAAAGCAGCCGGGACCAGCGGTGGGCGTGGATTCTGGAAAGCAGGAGAAACGAGACGAAGGATCAAGAACCGAAGTAGGAGGAAGCTCGCGCGCGCCGGAGTGAACTGCCGGGGAATCCAATCGCAATAGAGTTAAGTGTTTGAGAGTAAAACCTGGCCAAGACACGACCTCGATTACTCGCCGAGAATTTGTTACGGCCACCTTTTCCACCGCGTTTCCTACTCTCTGGCTCTTTGAATCGTCCGGAATTCCTTCTTCGTTTTCGATTCGGCTGAAAGCCGCGCCAACGTCCTCGAGTCCCTCACTAGAAGAGGAGGGAAGGGGACAAACGATCAAGCTTTATCTCTCTCCGTCGATTCATCCACCATCGGCTTTTTTTTTTTTTTCGTCCGTCATACTAACGTTTCCAATCGGCCCTAGCGTTTGCCGATCATCCTCGTCAAATTGTACTTGTCCCGATAGATCTCGCACGCTCAATTTTCGAATCTTTTTAACGGTTATCTTGGATCTTTGGTAATTATTCAATATAGTGGGTTTAATTTTTAGTGAAATTTGATTGGAAACTCTAGAACCTCTAGAGAGTGTTCGAACATTTTTAAACATCTAAGAAAGTAAAGAATGTAAACTTTTATTCGTGTGTTTTACGATAGATCATTCGAATCTCTGAGGACGTGTGATTATCAATCTATAAAGTGACCATTTCGGCCAGCGTGAGCTGAGTTTTAGTTTAAAACGAGTACTAGTAATTTCTCTCTTTAGATTTTTGATAACCATATTATTCAAGTTGTTTGAAAAAAGAAACAATTACAAGATAAGATAATATATAAATAAATGTGTAAATTTCAAATTCCAGAAACGAGTTTCAGGGTCAAGAACTTGGTTTACTGTTTCAGTGGGCAAGTTCACGAAAGTAACGAACAGATTGTGAGATTTATCAAAAATACGATCGATTAGATAAACCTTAGTGATAAATGAATCTTCGACTGATCGAATAACATTCAAATTCTTTCGATAATGGGCCACTTTGCATTTATTTGGCTCACCTACTAACAGATAAGCGTGTAAAACGATATTTTTTAATTATTATATAAATTATAACATAAGTACAATGTAAAACTCAACAATAATTTATTCAATCTTTATTAATCGTATACGAATTTTTAATTAATCCTTGTTCCTCATCCTGTAATCGAATTTATCTTCTAGAACTACCTGACTTTTGTCAAAAGCAAGCAAACTTTTGTCTAATGCTTTTTGCCGGTGGCAGCTGATTTTCCAACGATACAAGTTCGATTTTCGAAAGGAATTTCGCCACCAAATATCGAAATCTCTAATCAGAGATGGGCTGATCCTTGACTGCGAGCACATTCTCCTTAGTTGCTCTTTGTTTCGTCGTGAAAATCCTCAAGACCGTTATACCGGTAACGATGAGTCCACCATGGCAGGCTGTTACCACCACGTGTTGCCATAATATCGAGCAAAAGTTTGCCTGTGGCCAGTGGTAGAAAATAATTTGATACGACTCGTCGTTGCAACTTGAACGCAGGTGGAACATCGAAGCTATTGTTGTCCCTTTGGAGAACAATTACGATACCGTTTCTTGCGGCGTTCGGCAATTAGGTATCTTGGAACCTAACTTTTGTTACTGCCAGATCGTGTAACGACGAGTTTGTTTCTTATTGTTTTCCTGTAGCTGTATCGTGTAACGGACTGAAATTTTTGAAAGGAAATAGGACATCAAATGAAGCTGACATTATTATGAATTGTCAATTTTCTATGCTTGAGCTAACTGACTTGATTATAACACATACCAGATTAATCTCTAATTTAAAGAAACTAATCGAAATTACACAATGAAAATAATCAAATTGAACCGAAAGATATTATTGATATTTCGTGTTGCTAATGATTCTGGATTACTAATACTGAGAACTTTATACCAATTTCACAAGTGTATTCATATACATGTTAATCAATGTTTCCGAAAGAGCATTTATGAGCATTAGTTTAATCTTAATGTAATAGGTAATAGATCAAAGCTGAGAGTATATATAAACTAGCAGGTGCTCAGAGTGGTAATGTATTGAATCCATTTATTCCAGCAACATGGTGAGTATTTTAAAAACGATTTTCTATATCCTGTAAGATGTTAATCCTGCATTACTATTTAATTGTTAAACATCCATTTTTATTCGTTTCTCTACACTATAAATTGCTTTCATTTCAATTTCTGTAATATTAATATATTTTAAATTTGAATCTCGAACACATTCATCAATGTCTTCAGTTTATAAATGAAATTTGTCGCCATTTTGGCCTTTGCCAGCCTCCTGAATGCCTACACGGTGCCACGCACCGGAAACGGTGCTCTCGCCGACCAGCTCCAAGACTTTGTCAACATTGTTCCTTTCGACGACATAGTAGCATTCCTGCACGAATATGTCCAACATGATCCTGAAATAACTGGTCAGCTATCTGCAAACGAATGAGTTCAGGAACCTTGTCTTCGACCTCAAACATATCCCTCAAATCGTGGAGCTGCTGAACAATCTTCAAAGAACTGGTCTCGATCCGTACAACCTGATGAACCAGATCAACGATTACCTGCATCTGGACAGACTCAGCCCACCTAGCTCCCGTTTCACGAGGGCCACCAGAGGAATTCGCGGTTTCCTCGATCAAATCGAAGCTTTGTACAGGGGAAAGCTTAACAGTTCTAAGGCATTCGCTCAATTTATACGTTTCTTGAGGATCATCCACCACCCAAATGATCGTTGACACCATGTGTGTCAATACCGTTCTTAACAATTTTTTGTTGAAGCTCAAGGGTTACGGTGTCCGGCTCGAGGTCGCCAGAAAATTCCTACAGAACGAACTGGGCCTCCATGTCTCCTGTGTTGTTTGAATTTTTACACGTCCTTCCTGTGATTAAATGTTCTTTCAAGTTAATAAATAAGCAGGAGTGTAATACGTTGCTTTATGTTGTTCCTTCGACGTGATCTTCGTTCTAGTTCTTTCGTTTCTTTGATAAACTTTAGACTGTTTGTTGAAGAGTTTGATTCTAGCACGATAATTTGCCAATTAATGAATTGGTAGGTTAAGAGTTACAAATCGTAAGTTTGTTTTTTACAATCTAATATTTTCCAAACATGTTTTGGAAATTATTCGTTACCTGAAACAAACAGAATTTATTCATTACCTTACGACAATTCTTACTGGTAACTTGTAACTTGTGAATTGTCCAAATTTGTTGATAATATGAAATTGATTGTGCGAAATAAAAATTTAATAATAATAAATTAATTAATAAATAATAATAAAACATTTCATAATAATAATAATAATAAATATTTAATTTAGTCATATCATATAATACATTTTCTCAAAATTTTATGCCGGTCCACATCAGCTAGAATTTGAAGTATCGTATCACCTACTTCAAAAAAATGAGATTTAAAGAAATACACGCTGAGAAAAGAATTTTATTTTCACACTTTCGTGCACTTCTTTGCATCACTCTGTTTTTAATTATAATCTGAAGAAGTTAAAAAGGGATGCGAAACAATTTCTTTTCTAAACCAGAACACATAAAAAATATAATGATGCTGCCAGTCATGTTATTCAAACATTTATAATTAAGTTAATTTTGCAAAATCAAACAAATTCGTCTAAAAATATATATTTTTAAACGCACGTATTTTAAAAAACATCCAATAAAAAAGATTGATTCTTCCAAACTTCTAATTCTAAATCAAAATATCCTACTATATAATTAATAAAAGATACTAATTGAATCGAAATGATTGTTATCTCTGCATTAAAAAAAGTTCATATCGAACGTATTTTCACATTATTGTAAACTAATGTTTTCTTTAGATTAACTGTAAAAATGTAAATATAAAGAGTGATAAGAGCGACTTGATACACGATAATTATTAACAATTTAATGTTCTGCAATTAAAATTGATTATAATTGATATAAAGAGAATGAAGAGAACGTTGATTATTCAAGTCGAAATTTTTCAATCTTGCCCCTTTCCTTCATTTAGAAGTCATCGTGCATTCAAATATGTAAAAATATTAAAAAAAAAAAAAAAACTGAAGCAAGGCCAGATAATAAATAATTTTTAATTTTCTTTAGTTCAAATGTCACTTTATCGAACTAAACGTTGCGATATACATGAAATCCGATAAGAATTCAGATTGAACGATATAAGGGACTGATTACATCTCGTATATTGAATTTTTATTTGATATCAATCGGCAATCAGTGTTGCTTTCCATTTCTAAATAAAAAATGTTATCATGAAGATAATTATGTCTCCCCTTTTTCTTACTTTCAGCCACGAATAGACTCATTTTTCTAGCGTTCGCTTGATTAAATGTTCGTGTAAACTTTTAAAAATGAAGAAATAGTATATTTATTAGAGTCCCCAATTCTTAAATGCAAAATTTTTTAAGTCATACATTCAGGATTAATGATACAAAACGTTTCAAAATTGCAACAAGTGTGCAATTTTGAAACCTAATACAACATACCTAATACAACATACTATATGGATAAAATTTCTCAATCTCTAGGTTTGATCTCTATTGAAAAGATCGGTTCAAAGATAAAGAGCTAAAAGATATTTCCCGCAGAACAGAGTCAGCATACCAAGAGGTAAAAGGGAATAATGGTTTAAACATAACTGCATGTTACCCGTCAGAGGCTTAAAATAAATAATTCACTTCGCAAAAGGTTCAGTTACATTTCGTAATATATATAACGAATAAACATGTCAAAGGTCTGGAACCGAGCGCATTTTTCACTCGTTGTACTCCACGTTTAAAAGTAGAATGCGTTGCATAGAAAGTTTACCACAAAGTCAAATAAAATGAAATCCACAAGGACGATGCATCGTTTGTTGTGTTAAATGTACAGATGGAGAAAGAGATTGCTTAGATTCATTTAGTTGTGCAAATAAAATACTGTCGTTCAGATTATGAACAAGTGAATTACACATTTTATAATAAATTATATATAATAAAATAAAATAATAAAATTATATATATAATAAAATAAAATAATAAAATTATATGTAATAAAATAAAATATAATAATATCTTATATTTCAAAGTGAATCATATAAGGCATAAGAGATCATTATTTTGAAAAATAGTTGAACAAGGAAAGACGTATAAGGTTTACGAAGACCATAAGGCAAAAACATGATAAGCAATCTTGAAATTCAACAATCGAGTCTATGTTACGAAAACTGTTTCTCCATTTAATTGTAAAATTAATTATGAATTTTCGCACGATATTGGACATTTAAAAAATGATCATTTACAGATGATAGTAATCATAGAATTATCACTTGTGCTTAGAAAACTTAGGGAAACTATTCCCTCTTTAATTACCTTAGCTATCGATTAATATAAAAATTAATCAATATTTCCATCTTGTTTATTACAAAAGATAACATAAATACTAAATACTAAAGATAACATAAATAATAAAAAAGTAAAAAATTTGTTAATATATATATTTACTTTGTGTACCCAAGTACTTGAATTGATCATCAATCACGATGATCGATTCAATCGATGATGCAAATACAAATCATACGATGTTTGTTCTGGAAATATTGCTGATTTGATTTAATTTTTCACTGATAACTATCTATAACGAGACATCAACGAGGCTTAAGAACAGGTGCACGAATAATGAAATCTTATCTGTCTCTCAGGTGCTGTCTCCTCCATATTGTTATTTATTTTCTCACGAATGTGCTCCGGTATATATAAAGCCGAAAGAAATTTCATGTCGTAATACCACAGCCTAACATCAAAGTGATCACGGTGAGTTCACACACAGATCATTATAAAACACCATTTCAACTGTCTGAAATTGTTTTTGCTAGAAAATCCACATAGATATTTCATCCTTTCTCGAAGAGTTTCGTTTCTTATTCATCATTGGTTTTCGATCAGTTTCAGTTTTAAATATCGCGAATAGATCAATTTAAATTTGTCAGTGGAAAATAATTCCTCCGAAATTGACTGAAAATTATTTAAACGAGAGAAATTTTAACACCATTCAATTAATAACGCGTCAACGAATCTCGTTCGAATTTCTACGATCGAAAATATACGTCTCGCATTCATCGTGTGCTTCACTTGAATTAACTTCGCACCGTTCGTATTGCAGATGAAATTCGCAGTGGTACTGTGCGCGGCGTTCGTTGCGTTCGCAACCGTGAATTCGCACACTCTCCCAGATTTCGGCAAGGGACCCCTTCATGAAGACATCCAATACTTTTTGGACTTGATCCCGATGGATCAGATTATAGGCGTCGTCCTGCAATACTCAGCCGATGACGCCGAGTTCCAAAATCTGCTGAAATACTTCAAAACGCCAGAGTTCAAATTAATGATCGAAGAGATTGAGGTTATTTCCGAGTTCCACAAGTTCGCGGATTACCTGCAGAACAACGGTGTCTACATCTACTCTGCGCTGAACAAGCTGAATAAGGTAATCGGCTTGCCGCCGTTCCAACAGTTTAGTAATACGCAAAAAATCACCGGCGGTCTGAAAGGTCTGTTCGAAGACGTGAAAGCGCTCGTCTCCTACGACAAGTTTATCCACGGTTACGTGTATAAGATGAGAACGTCCAACGCATTCCGCGGCTTTGTAGCTGAACTGAAATCCAAGGGCAACCAACAGTTCGTGAACACGCTCTACAAGAATCAAAAGTTCTTGAACTTCCGTGCAATGCTGGTGCGGGGAGGACTCGACATCACCTTGGTCGAAGACGTCATCTATACAGTTCTCGGCGTCGAGTTCCCCAACTACAATAAACCCAAAGTGGAAACCTTCGCCTCTACTGAATTGTCCAAAGATATCCATGACTTCCTCAACCTGATTGATAAGCAGAAAATAATGGGCATCGTTCTTTCTCGTCTGGAAGACGACGAAGTACAAAGGGCACTAGCGGTCATGCACAGCGAAGACTTCCATGTCTTAGTACGCAAAGTCGAAGCCATGCGTGAATATCAAGACTTGGTGAGATACATGGAAAATGCCGGCTTGGACATGACCAATCTGATCAAGAAAATTCACAAACTGTTAGGAATGGAGGATTATGTACCACCATATTTGACGGAGACATTCGCTAACCTTGGTGGATTGAAGGCTTTGGTCAAAGACGTGGTTGCTGCTCTTCCAGTGGACAAATTGAAGGCCCTGTACACAGAAAAAATGCGCACTTCTGCCGCTTTCAAGAATTTCATGGATAAACTTCACTCGCAGGATTTCCAGAACATCATCAACACCGTCTACAAAACACCAGTCTTCCTGGAGATGAGACGAAAGGTCATCAAAGACGGAGTGGACCTCACACCATTCAGAGATGTCATTGAGCAATTTCTTGGTATCNCATCTTCCCAGAGTCGACAGCCGAGCAACAATTTTCGCCTCCACTGAATTGTCCAAAGATATCCATGACTTCCTCAACCTGATTGATACGAAGAAAATAATGGGCATCGTTCTTTCTCGTCTGGAAGACGACGAAGTACAAAGGGCACTAGCGGTCATGCATAGCGAAGACTTCCATGTCTTAGTTCGCAAAGTCGAAGCCTTGCGTGAATATCAAGACTTGGTGAGATACATGGAAAATGCCGGCTTGGACATGACCAATCTGATCAAGAAAATTCACAAACTGTTCGGAATGGAGGATTATGTACCACCATATTTGACGGAGACATTCGCTAACCTTGGTGGATTGAAGGGTTTGGTCAAAGACGTGGTTGCTGCTCTTCCAGTGGAAAAATTGGAGGCCCTGTACACAGAAAAAATGCGCACTTCTGCCGCTTTCAAGAATTTCATGGATAAACTTCACTCGCAGGATTTCCAGAACATCATCAACACCGTCTACAAAACACCAGTCTTTCTGGAGATGAGACGAAAGGTCATCAAAGACGGAGTGGACCTCACACCATTCAGAGATGTCATTGAGCAATTTCTTGGTATCCATCTTCCTAGAGTCGACTCTCTATTGTTCAAACTGTTAAGGCTTGAAGAAGCTCTCATCCAATAATGCTTTTGTAACTCGATTTTGTATACGGAAAATTTATATTTGTAATTAATTCTGGGCATTGAAGCCGTAATTAAATTTCTATTTTGCAATTAAATTTCTATTTTGCCTGACTTTTTTTTGATCCTGATGTTAAAATTCCTTTAATTGTCAAACAAATATATTTTTACATATAAATTTATGTTAAACGTAAATCTTAATAATAAACATAAATAACTCGAAAAGTACCATTCTATCTTAGTAGAAGTAGAAATAAAAGTGAGAAATAAAATTTAATGTTCGGAATGTTCAAGGTTGGATCATTTTTGTTGGTGGTCAACGACTGCTGACATTTAGGAACAAACTCAGGGTTGTCGCCACTTATTTTTACTCTTTCATCTTTTCTGTGTTGTTCTGCTATGGCGATGCTATCGGGGTGTCTTTTTCTGTTGCTTACCACTCCGTGTGTTCATTCGCATTTCTTCTTCTTCTGAGCAAACAACTGTAAAGGACGTTCCACGTAAAATCTCTCAATAAATATATATTTCTCACCATTTACTGGATATGCGTGATTCTCCTTAAACAAATTCCATCAATTTTGTTTTCTCTCTTCGTTCATTTCTTATTCTTTATGATTATCTCGCTTCAATTTTACCAAATAGTTTTCTTTCCTCTCCTTCGAAAGCATGTCGTTCACGCACATCTATCATCTTCCTATTCCGATTTTTCTTATTCGAGTTTTTTCTCATTCAAATTTCTTTTTCTCTCAATCATTCTTCACTTTCCATTTCTCCGAATTTCATAGATTCGCCTGTCAGTTTCTCCATCTCTCTCCCTCCACTCTCTTGAGCCTCTTACGACTTCCTCCTTCATTGCGACGAGCCAATGGCAAATTGCGAGGCTTATTAAATTGTAACAATTTTAATTAGAGAAGTAGCGCGCACCAGCTTGTTTCTGCTCTTGTTCGTTCTGTTGGTTCTCGCCGAAGAAGGACAGAGTGAAAGGGAGGTTGAACCCTGCGGCAACCGGGAAGACGCGTCGGTTAAGACGCCCCTTACTTTCCTTTTAAAAGTTAGCGCCACGTGCTCGAACATGGTCCTCTTTTATTTATCGAATGGCTGCCGTTGCTACTTGGGGCCATTCGCTGCACGCGGTGCCGTTTGCTTTCTCGTTTGATCAGCGAAACTTCCGCGACTTCCGTTAACGAACCATCGTCTTCGATGGTAAATGAAATTGATCGTCGTACGAAAAATCGATTTAATTCGATCTTTGGCCTATCAAGGCAGACAAGTAAGAAAGATCGGATGAAATTGTACTAAACTTAATGGAGAAGCTCAGAGGGAAAATGGTATTGTTAACAAAATTTATAATTTGAGTGCAGTTTCTGTTATAGGAACTTTATACTTCTGAATATTTTTGGAGAAAAACACACTTTATTCGAATGTTAACTCGGATTTGAGCATTCTAACAACACTAATTGTAAGACGACTGAATAAGCGAAATCTCGTTTTCTTTAATTTTTCTAGGATACTTTCTCGATCTTTAACTATTTTGATACGCCGTTCATACGCTATGATGCTTCTACTTTTCTAAGTGCATATAATATTTAAAAATACTTTATTGCAAATTTCTATAATATTTCTTACAAATAGCATCACTACAAATTTCCTTTTGTTTAATTAAAAGTTGCGAGAGTATTTTTAAAACATTTTTGCCCACTATTTATTTTATATATAATGTTAATTAGGTACATTGATCAGGATTTTTAGTATAGAAGTTATTTTATCTTTCATATATTTTATCATTTTTTTCGAAGTGAACAATATCGCACAATGCGTACGTATAGCTTCTAAGCTTCTAATTAAGCAGGTATTGATTTGCCACTTAAAGATACAGTAGACAATCGTGAGATAATCGTGCGGCAACGTTAGAATTATCGAGGAAGAACAATTTACCAGACCGTCTTTTTAATACAGTAATTAAGTATTTAAAAAGTTATCAAGTCTTAAATCATGTATGGTTTTTGTCGGTAACTATCCATTAATTTAAAACAAATACACATACATCGTATTCATTCCCGTATATTTTTAAACTTTATGGTAAATATATATCATATCATTTAAAATAATTAATAATTCATAAATGACAAGCAACATGTATATATAGACAATTATACAATATGTACAATGCATAAATAATTAATAGCATGGTTACGAAAAATCTGCAATTAAATATCTTCGGTCATTATTAATTTCAGATTGAATTTACGGCTCAACGGTAATTTCATATTCAATTTATGAATTTATACGGTTAGTCGGCATTGTGCAATCACGATGTTTACATTATTTGTCACCTATAATTTGCTACCATAAGTTTTGCAACCATAATGAGCTCGTGATTCGCGAACATAGACATAGAGGACGCCACATATATGTTTATAACAGCTATGCTTGATAATTGGACGATGATTTCCGTTACTCTCGAAAGAAGCTGGTATAATGATTACAGCAGTGATTACAGTAATAAGATAAGAGATATAGATCTCAATTAACATTGTATTTGCATTAAGACTTACATGTAAACTCTAATCAATTAATTTTTGTCACTTTTATATATTTTTAATCAATTTTGCTCATCAAACAGCGCAAACGATTTATTATCTCTTCGCTTTGATTATATTTTTAAGAATAGTTGAGTTAAAAATTATATTAAAATTATATTAAAAATTTATATTTTTTATTTTTTATAACATATTTCTAAAAATTTATATCTTTTTTATTTTATAACATACTTATTAGTCAGAGATTAACATTAGATAGCCATTTAATATTAATGTGAATTCCATTAATTATTTACGAATATTATACTTCAAGCATAATGTTCAGAAAATTAAAATTAAACAAATTAAATGAAATAATTGAAATTAAATAATTAAAAACACTGTGTATATTCTGAATTGGAAAATTGCAACGTTAACAAAATTCCTACATTCGAACGTTTTCTTGATTCCCATTGTAAAATGTTAAATTCAAGATAATGTCTTTACTGACACAAAAGTGATTAAAAATCTATTTTTGTCTTAATTATTTAATTATTTAATTACACTAAAACTTTTTTTGTCACTTTAACCGGGCTTATTATCTATTTAACGATTAAATTTCATAATGTCACTGCTCATCAATTAGTGATCACCATCGACCAATTCAAATAATCTTATCAGACTGAATAAGTTAGATTTGTCGTGGTATATAATGGGCAAAGAAAAATTAACTTACGTTAGAATTCTATCAAGTTTGGCCCACAAGAGAAAGTCGACGTTTCGAAGTGTGAGTATTGCACAATTTTAATTACGTTTGCGATTATTCGTAATTTCTATAATTAATTGTTATTCGCAATTCTAATTACTACGACAATTCGCGTATCACTCTGAAATTAATTAAAAGTTTTATACTCCCATTCTGTTACATTACACATACGCGAGCCAACCTCTGCTAATCACCAAACTGTATAAATTCCATTAACGATACACTGTACAAATGATAATTCCGCAATGATCGAACAACGTTACTCATTTCAACGAGTTTCCATTTTTTCTTCTTTTCTTTTTCGAAACTTATCGGCAATTTTCAGATGAGATTCGCTCTCGCAATCGCGGCCATCTTGGTCACAGCCAGCCATCTCAACGCCTACAAGCTGCCAAAAGTTGGCTCGGGTGACCTGGCCAGGGAACTGCAGGATTTCGTAAACTCATTTCCCATAAATGACGTACTGGAGTACACGAGAGTGTATTTGTCCAGGGACAAGGAGTTCCAATGGGTTTTGAATTTCATGCGAAACGAAGAGATGGGAGCCTTCCTTAACGACGTGCAATCTTTGCCTGAATTCGCAACCTTGATGGACTATCTGGTAGAGAATGGTCTCAACGGTTATGCTTTATTCGACACCGTGAAAGAAGTCATGGAGGCGCAACTCGAGAGAGTAAACGTGCACTCGAACCTGAGAGTTACCGGAGGACTTGCAGGTTACGTCGCAGACGTCACCACCGGCGCGCTTGTGACCAACATGCAGAACTTGTTCGAAAACAAGGTCGCAACATCCGAGGTGTTCAAAAACTTCGTCAGAGAGATCTTATCTGGCCGATACGAGAGACTTTTCGCAAGCACGTCGACGAATACTCATTTCCAGAGAGTGTTACATCAACTTCGGTACCTCGACCTCGACGACGAAACGTTCCACGCGAATTTCTACTTGCTTCTCATTTCCAAAGCATTGGTCCGCGCACATAATTAAAGTTACGAAACAGAAACACGCCTATAGATCTTCTGCGTACGAAATTGTGATCACACTTCAAGCAAGTTGCAGCTCGCAAGATTACTTAATATGTTAATGATAGTGTAATATTTAATATTTAATACATACTGAATTAAGGTGTTCTATCTTCCCTTTCTCTCTCTTCCTTTCATAGTTTTATATAACATCGTGTAGACATTAAGTATTTTAATACAATGGTAGAATATTAAATACGCGTGTTTGGAAAGGAAGTAATATTTCAAAGTTTATTGAATGAAAGTTTTATCTCCATGAGAAATTTTGAATAGCAAGCTTTACTGCTTTTTCCAGCGAATTCGAGCCGGCTGAATAATCCATGTGTCCGGGAAACCTGTGTTGTTTATAAGTTGGAATTATTCAACGTCGCGTTATTAATTTACAATTCTTAAAGAATGTTCAGAGTTCGAAACTGCGAGGGAATATCTGTCTATTATCTTTCGTATCGGTATAATCAAAATTATGAGCGATAAGCAATATAATTGATTGCCTTAGCAAACGACTGATAATCGAAGTAACGGAATCAAAAACTACAGAGGAACGTCATAGAAACACAATTTACAATGGTCATAAGTCTTTTTAATTTATCAATTTAATTCCAAATGCTTTAGTTACACTTTCCGATCGCAGCAGAATAAAAAGAGAAATTGGAATTTCTTTACGTTTCTTAACATACGAACTGGAATATGTAAAAATGAATTTCTATAGAAAATACAAATACGTATATTGACGCATAATTTTTTTTATAAAATTCAGGTTTCTTTCACAGTAGCGTGTGTAGCGATCACAGTTAGAGATTGTTCGTATAGCAGAATGCAACAGCTCGTTTTCAAAAATTTACAGAACACTGGAAAAATTATTGTAAACCATGTGAATCAATCTGAACATTTTTTAACGGACGTATATTCGTCATCTATCATGAAAAGTGTAGAAAGTCACGTACATATTAATCGTCAAGATAAACCATGAATCATTCTCAAATTTATCACTCGTTGTTATTTAATAACTAAGATAATTCTAAGAAAATTTATATTGAATGTAAAGTATAATACAAAAATTATACTTTACATGCACAGTATAAAATGATAATCAAAGATTATTGCAGCATTGTGACACAGGTGTAATAGATAGCGATTCTCGAATAGCATTGCGTAATCCTTCAATATTATATAATTAATAGACCTATTCATTTCTTATAATAGATAACGTGTTTAACATTTCATATTAGTTTTTTACATTGACATTTCTTGCATGAAACCTTGGGTATATAAATAATGATTTTCTTTAAAAAAGAAATCGCATCATTTGCACGAGTATTATGCACGAGTAACATGACAGCGACAAATTTCTCCGATGCAGAAAATATTTTAATCTCTCAACTAACAAGCCCCTTGTAATCTACCATAAGTTTGCAGGTTAGAGAAATGGTCATAAATGAATTCCCAATGATTTAGAAAAGAGATGAGCGAATAAATTTGTGTGCCTATACAATCAAGTACGAAAGAAATATCTTACTATCTTTTATGTATTTATGAAAAAATATGCAGAAGAAAACGTCGTCAGATCAATTCATAATTCAAGACGTAAAGAATTTATGAAATAAAAAGCAAAGTTCGCGAATAAAACATAATGTACGTGCACGCATTATCTACTGTAGAAAATGAATAAATTTATCAAAAGCAATGTCGGTAGTTTAGGTAACAGAGATGATATGAAAAATACCCTTTGCAATAGTAATAATTATTTTCTATTATCATATAATATGTGAAGTATTGTAATCAAAGGGTGTCGCAACTGTTGCTAAAATTCTTTTTAGCCTATTGGCCTTTAATTTCAATTATCATTTCGTATCTTGCACGTATTATGACGTGCGGCTTGTTTGTATGATAAAGCGATATCACCGAAGTGCGACTTGAGAAAACTATCAGTTTGATAATACAAACGTGATTGATGATTTAAATGCTTGAATATGTCAACGTCACAATCCTTCTCGAAACTATGACAGAATCATGCCAGAGGAATGTTACGAAAATGATAGACAATCTATGCTGTGTCTGTTCTTAGTTGATTGAAAAAAAAAAAAAGGAATTCGAAATTCACACATGTAATTACCTCAACTCTAAATTTTTTAAAATTATTTATTGCCTTTCTTGCTCCGGTTTAAGAACAGACGTGAAGATAGTTACGAGCAGTCGCCGTGATTCACGAAATTGCATCGACTTCGCGAATATAGAAATGTAGTATCGCGGGTGTGTGCTAATCCTTGCGATGACCGATCCCGTTAAATTCCCGGAATAGTGAAAATTAAAATTTCTCGTCACAGTCGTTTCACGAATCAACCAGCTTAATAAACTTCAGTCGAAGGAAGAATAACTCAACTGAGGGAGAAGTTTAATCGCCATAACCTGTATAGGTGCACGTAAGACGTTAAATCAGCGAAAGAATGTTTAACATCGTTGCACGATGAACCGACGAATCTACTCGGCCATTTTTCTCTCTTCCGTATCTTAAACGTGCAAACTTTTCGTCGTAAGTTTCTGAAAGACTAAATTTCACCTGCACATAGCCCCTTCCTTTCTTCGCACATTGTACCAATGCAGCGGGTTAACAAGCTTAACAAGCCTTGTTGATAACATTTCCACGAAGTTTTCATGGATCGTACGATGGTTCTGTCCTAAATCAACTACGAGAGTGTAAGAATTGAAAGAGATGAACCCACAAATAATGATCGTTACCGTGATGGCCGCTGCCTCGTTTGCTTTCTTCGGGTTTCTCGCTTATCGGATCAGAGCCCGATCGAACGACATAGATTTGCTGAGCGTGCCCCCGTTGGAAGACAACAGCACCCTCGACGAGGATCTCAAAGACATTTTGGCGTTCGTCCCCATGAAAGAGGTTCAGGAGATCATCAAACGATACATGCAGTACGACGCACAGATAGGCGACACCGTGAGCTTCGTGAACGACCAACAGAGATTCATAATGCGCGAGTTTCAAAAGATGCCGGAGGCAGGCAAGCTGATCGCGTTTCTGCGAAAGAACGGCCTGAACGTGGACTCCTGGCAGGAGAAGATACACTGCTTCTGGAAGACGTCGCCGAGGTTCGTCAAATACGATCCGAGCGTGGCAGCCGGCGGCCTGACCGTGATGATCAATAAAATCTTGGAAACTGTGCCCCTGGACGAGCTGCACGAGCTGCTGCGACAGAAGGTGAAGTACTCGGCGAGTTTCCGCAGGTTCCTGCACGCGTTGAGGTCCAAGGACTTTTACGAGTTCTGCAACGCGCTCGAGACCAACGACGTGCTGCATCATCATTACTTTTGGGCGAAGGAGGGCGGCCTGGAGATCACGTTCGCGATCGAACTGTTCAACGAACTGCACGTCTACCTAACGCAGACCTTGGTCGCTTGAGAATTATCGTCAATGATCGCTGCCGAGTAAATAAACTGTAACTGAGATGTCAAAGCAACGAGTTAATTTTGATTTATAAAGTTTACTCTAGATTTTGTAAAATAGGAATAGAAGAATAAGAGTAGAATTCGATTTCTTTCCGAAAGATATTTATAAATGTTATCTAACTGGTTAAATTAGAAGTGAATAAAGGGTTAGGAAACAGAAAGTGCAATGGATATTCCTATTTTAAAATTTTCAAACTGGAGACAAAAGGGTAGGAATAGAATTCGATTCTTTTCCAAAAGATTTTATCTAACTGGTTCAGTGAGTGAGGAGTAAACATGAGCGAAAAAGGGTGGATAAGTAGATATGTCTTGCACATATGAAAGATTGCGAGTAATCTATGAAGGCCCTTCTTCAGTTTGATAATATCTCGTGTTCGTTAGCGTCACTAGATTTGTTACTTCATAACAGATAAGAAATATGTTTATATACACTGCAAATGACTAATTTCTTTAACGGCTGTTTGTTTTAACATGTTTCATTTTCACGCACAATTAAGTAAAAATTATTCAAACCTACAGTTGTACGCTACTAAATTTTATTGACACCCAAGTTTTGATGTTTTTCTAAAATTTTGTTATCAGTTATTAATTAAATACAATTTTTCACGATAGATTGCTCTTGTACAAATTTAATAAAATTATCGAAAATTTCATTTTCTTACTGTGGATTTGAAGGTTAAACAATCAAGGCTGATTGTATATTTAATGTATATTTAATGTATACTTAAGACTAAACTTGATTAAATTTAATATGTTGTCTATTCAATCCTACATAAAATGCACATTCTATTCTGCTCAACGCCTAAATTTACACTCTTCATTCTTTTTCTCAGCATGCATTCTCGTTGTCATTTGTTCCTTTTCTCTCACACTTATACCGTCAATATCATATCATTCACAATTATTTTGATTATTGTATAACGTCTGTATGCCCAAGCAGCCTTAAAAATCATAAGCTTGGCCTGCACTCTCGAGTAAATAAAATTTTTCCTCCTACAAGAGAATCGAACTACTTAGCAGAGGAGGAAATGGACATAGAACAAAGGAGACGGTATTTCAATGCTGCATAAATGTACTTTATTATTTAACGAGAAATATTGAATTGTACAGACATCATTTAGATTAAAACTTTACATAAAGGCGGAAACTTCAAGTAATATTTGAGAACTGATTTGGAAGATGTATCTGTCGATACCGGCTTTCGCTGCCTCGTCTTCTGCAATCTGGTAGTGCTTGTTCTTGAAAATGAGCTGGTAGAAAGTTAGATATTTAGACGATATTATTTCGTATACGAAGTCCTTGAATACCTCCGAGTGCTCCATTTTGTCTTCATATATCTTTAAGATTTCATCTGACGGCAGAATGGCAAGGATGTCCTGCATATAGCCTTGGAGTCCACCAGTGATCTGGACTTGAGGAGCCAAGTAAGCTCTGATCACGGAAAATAGAGGTGGGATACCAATGGCTTTATTGAACGCTTTTAACATAGCAACTATATCTAAACCATGGTTCTGCATATAGTTTACGAGCATTTTGAATTCGGATGCTTGTTCGATATCTTGTATCCATTGCTTCACTTCGCTGCCTCTTACTATCTTTAGGCCCGTTTGGAATTCCTTGTCTTGGGCCAGGTAGGCTCTCGTTACTGCGGCGACTTTTTCAACGGGCACCAAGTCGACAAACGACTGGAACTCCTTAGCGAGAGCGCCAGAACCCGTGGCCGGGACTTCAATGGCGTTTAAAGGACTGGCCGCGACCAGAACAACGAAGAGTGCTACGATGGCCTTCATCTGCGAAGAAATGAATTTTTTTAGCATCGCCGATACACGCATAAATTGCTTTGCGACTGTTTATTTTATTTCTATTTCACAATCGGGACAAATAGGATGCTTCCCTTAGGTTATTAGAAGGATTATATATATATATATATATTTCTATAAGAATTTATTTCATTTTTACCTTGCCGAACTGTGTTAGCATACTCTATCTTTGAAATGAGAAAAAGATATTGTACAAACATACAGGATCGTAACTGTATTGTTATAAAATTATAATAAAATTTTAAACGATTGGATAGTTACTTAGCGAATTTAGAAATGTCGATTTAATTGTGATTAGAGAAATGGTATTTATTACTAACGATCACTGTAACTATGCCTTATTGTATATACGTTGTAATACTACGTATGTACGAGTAGTTGGTAAATATCAAGTATTAATTAGTTGAATAAACTTATAGTAGTATGTATAATTATACAACATTCTGACACTGTTTGATGAAATCAAATGAAATACTCTGTATATGTATTTGATCGTTCTGAAGAATTCCGAAGAAACTTTGCTTCGTCCGATCGTATAATACATATACTACAATCATGATCTTATGGCGCCGTTTTGCGCCAAATAAAACAAAGTAACAACAATAAGTGAAAATAACAGCGAGAAAGATTCCAAGTTTCACGAGAGTAAGAATCGAACAGTTGTTCATACAACTTATTGATTAACAGCAATAGCACGTTACGCTTAGATTGCGTTTATGTCAGAAAAGTAGTATAGTATCGGCACTCACCTTTGATGCTTTTCTTCTTCTTTGACTTCCTATAGTCGCTTCTATTTCGCTTTACGATGTGAATTGTTGTCAGAATAGAGATCCCATTGCATTTTATATACGAGCTGAAAGACTGATAATTTTAAATCGATAAGATTACTTGATTTCATCAAACGCGTTATCTCGAATTCTACTTGCAAATAACTTTGTTCCAACCTAGATCCATATCTCGGCGCATTTTTTCCAGGCGAATGGTATTAATTTCAAAAATAACGTGTCGATACGCGGAAATGTTTTGAAGACGTCCAACGATTACGGCCGCGTGATAATTTCATAGATTGTCGATCGATTCGAAAGGGAAAAGAAGGAAAAAGGAAGAAGGAGAACTTCACTCCCTTGATGTACGAAGCTGCATAATGCGGCAGCTTATTACATTAGGTCAAAGGAGAATATCTTGGGCGAAAGAAGTTTCCCCGACCTCCTTTGAGAGCTTCATTAAGATAGACGTAAAAACGTGGCTCCACAAAGGAAATGTTTATCGACGTGTGATGGCTACTTTCCTAGCTCCGCTCCGCTCCAAGATCTTCCGCTCTCCTGATCTTTATTAAACACGCGAACTTCCTTTATACGACTTTTACGGTGCAGAATTGCATAAAATTACAATTTCCCCTCGTTCCGCCACTATCCCCCTGCTCGCGTGAATCAACGAGGTATCTCGATAAAGTTGCATCAACTCTCGACGAATCTCGGACGAGTTATACTATTTCTCGTGAAAGGAAATCACGATATAAACATACTATTAACATTCTCGCGATATTTCGTGCTCATCGTTAAAAGTGGGAAGCGTGGCATTCTGAATGTACCAGAGATTTCGACCTTACAAATTTTAAAGTTTCCCTTTCTTTCTACGGTGAATTGTGTGTCAGAAGGTATACTATCGATATATCTCGCGCTTCTCGCTGAAAGAAGAAACATTGCATTTTAAATACATCAGAGATTTCGATTCTACGAATTTTTCACACTTAAAGTTTCCCTTCCTTTCGATGGTAAATTATATATCAGAGAGACGTTACTGATATTCTTGCTACAATATTACTGATGTTCTTCACTCTTCCTCGGAAGCAAATTAAGTAAAATTCATCGAACGCGCGCCGTGCAGGATCGTTTCCCTCGAGACGGTCATCAACGCCTGGTTCCAGAAGGGGGCCAGAAATTTAAGTCACGCAGCCGCGGGAAGGAATTAATTCCGGTGAAGACGCCGCTTAGTCGTACGAACGCGACACGTCGGTGTGAGTTTGACGAGGAGCAGGCTGAAGGACGCACGGACACGGGGCTGGGGGCAAAGTGAGGGAGAGAGCTGCGGGACTGTGCTAAGGCAAGCGGCTCGCGGTGTCTGCGGCAAACAATTCCAATTAACTCGCTGGAATTGGAATAGGACTCCTCTCGGCGACGCTCTCTCGACCGAGGGACCATCTCCCGGATGCACGAGCGTCGCCGGCGACGAGGACGACGCGGGGAACGCGCGCGTGTTTCTCCCTCGTCGAGCCTTTCACCTCCCCCGTCCTCTTCTATCCGGCGCGACGTTCTTCGACGCCGCTCCGTCCACGCGCAGAAATTAGCTGTCCATCCAGAAAGTTGGCGAAAACACGCCAACGAACGACAAGGAGAACGACGACATGGATTACGGGGTGTGGGCAGGCGAAATGAGAAAAACTCTGGCCGGATCCTTCAAGTTTCCCCCGCTGGTATTTACATTTCAATTGAGAACGGCTCGATCGAGACGACGATCGGAGCAGTAGCGTGTTTTCGACGAAAGGAATATTCACGCGGTCAGGACATCGCGGTGCATAATTTCCCTGATCCTCGATCCTCGAAACCGGTCCGTCTCTATCTACCTGTTCTCTGTCTGAAAGGCGGAGCCGGTCCATGGAAGGCATAATTCAATCAGGGCCTAGGAAGGGGATGTTTGTCAAGTACGGTTTCTTTGCACCGTGCAAGAGCGAGTGAATGGCGACCCGTTGGACCATTATCCGGCGCATAATGCTCGTCATCGTCGTCATCGTTGGCCAGAGATAGAGGAGAGAAAGAAGACACGAGAGAGAGAGAGAGAGAGAGAGAGGGAGAGAGAGAGTAAGAGAGTCATAAAGCAGAGAGTTGGGCCGTCGCCCTAGACAATGCGGTTCTTGAGCTGCTCAGATATTGAAGACGCCCGAAAGCGGTGTGTACCAATCCCGGTGTGTACCCAGCGTCTAGCCCGCTACTCTACATTATTAAATCTCACCCGTGTGGACCAGCCACACGGCCGAGATGACGTTCTTTCGTCGCTCGAGCGACGTGCGTTGAATTCTCAACAGGGCAGAGCGTCCAAAGTCTGACGTGGTGGGACGTTATCACGTGTTATCGTGGTGGCGGCGTGTGGAAAAGTTTTAAGGGTATATATCTTGAAACGTCGATGGTAGGAGGTTAGCGACGATAATCGATGGTCACATAGAAAATGGCGAAACGATACTCCTTTTCGAAATCGCGTTTCCGATAACTAATTTCTTCTGTTACACAACCCTCCCACCCTGTGCACGTAGTTAACATCAGCAACACCTGCGTTACGCATTTCTCGACTGTCGATGCTTATCCTCAAGGCTTTCTGTCCCACTGCCAATTATTTAACCGCCAATTATTTATTGTTCACGTGAAATTCTATCGTTCCACTTAAGCTTCGAGTGGTTTTCATAGTACCTAGCACGAATATCAAACGTTTCCCAGATTGAAAAGTATTTTGCAAAGTATCTTCTTGACACCGTTACTTCTGACAATGATTAGACAATCGTTTCCTTAGATTAGAACTGTAGAAATCTATGAAACTTTTAGTTCGGTAGAAACGGAGTGGACGTTGAGAAAAGTACTTGATCTGAAAACTTGTCGTCTATTGTCTAAATTCGTTGGAATTCACGCCGTCGAAATTGTCGCAAATAAAGTCACGCAAAAGTAAATTCTTTTCATCGCAAACGCGTTTCTTTTTTCTCTTGGTCGGACGGTCGAAAAGGAAAGTGAGGAAAAGTTCGTTCGTCCGTGAATGGGACGATGGTACGGTGTCGGGGCGCGGTGGCTGAAAATAATTCACGACGCGCCAGATCATGTGGTCTCGTCTTGAGCAGCAATAACCAGGTCCAATTAGCCGGCGAGGACTACATATTCCGTCTCTCATTTACGACGGCGTAATGCTACCTGTTTCACGCAGAGCCACGTATAATTACAAGCTAATGCCGGAGCGTCCGCAATCGTGGCAGGTGGCACATAATCGCGGCCTCGTAACCCTCGAACGAGTTAATCCGTGAGACGTCGCGCCGTTTCCCGCGACGCCTGCAACCAGTGTCATCTCGTCGCCGCCGTTAGACGACGTCGACGTCGACGCCGACGTCTCTGCGTAGTTGTCGTCGCCGGTTGAAATCGTTTAAAAGTGGCTATATAGCGGGGGCTTGATCCGCTTACTGGGTTTAAAAGTCAAGTGCTAAAAGCGCAATTCATCCCATCTAGTCGAGAAAGAGCGGGACAGAGGCGACGACGGCGGAGGCGGCGGCGGAGGAGGAGGTGGAGGAAGAGGCCGGAGGAAATCGGCCGTGGAGAAGTTTCTAGGAGAACGATAGAGGAAAGATAGCTGGCTGTTCTCGCTCCAGTGTCCCTGCTCGTCGTCGTTCCGACCACTTCGTTCAACGACTCATTTTATTTCCCGACGCGAGCAAGTATCGTCCGTCCCGTATGAAAGTCTCCCTTCGTTCTTTCTACCTTTCCATCTCTCCCTTTCTTTTTTATCATCTCTCTCTCTCTCTCTCTCGCTCTTTCTCTCTCATTCTCCCTTTTTTCTTCTTTTCCCTCCTTTCTTTCTTTGTTTCGCGCCGGGTTCGTTCGTTTCGCCAGTCCGTCTCGCGCTCTCGTTTCTAGTTTCTGTGTTTCTATTTTTCTGCCTCTTCCAAGATTGGAGGGTCGACGGAGCGGAAACAAGGGGTGACTGCGTCCTTTCTCTCCCCCGCGGGTTTTTTTTTTTTTTTTTTTTGCTTCTTCTCTTCTTTCTGTTTGCACGCCGCTCGAGTGGCACCGTTTACCGGAGCTGAAGATACGTGGTACGTATTATTGCGACGGCAATCGTCGCGTCATAGCGATAAGCTATGAAATTTCCTACCCTACTAGAATTGGCTCCTCCAACGATTCCTGCATGTTGCTTTGTCGATGTCCTGTCTATTAATGTTTGTTAGAAACGAGGCGATTTCGAGATTGTTCGCTTTTCAGTTTTCCATGATTTATGACCGAATCATAATACCGGTCTCCAATAAATATAAAAAATCCCAGCAAATGTTTAAGGAAAATGTTGCAATAAAGAGAAATAAAATAAGAAAAAGAATGTAAAGAAATAAAATAAGGGAAGTAAAGGAAATGTTACAATAAAAATAAATCTGGCCACGGAGTGGGGTGAAAAACTTTCTCAGGTCAAAGAGGTGTTTGACCGCTTAGTACTTGCCCCAGAATCTTCGAACCAAGAAGATCGCGAGTTTTACAGAATTTCTTCCTCCAGCGATTTCCAACATGTTCGTTGAAATATCTTACGCTTCGTACGTTTTTCAGATGTGCTTTCTGCTTGTTATAACTTGAGAATGTCGAATTAACTCTGTTCACGTCGAATTAGTAAAATTCATACCAGTCCATTTTCTGTTACTATGAAGTATTACCTTTACCAGCTTCATCTAATTAAAAGTACTTAAATGATCGTTAACCGTTCCCTAATTTTCCTAATTACTGTAATACCTTGTCTTATAGGTACGAACTATTGAAACATTGTATTACATACATGTATATATATATATGTCTATAATTTGTGCCTGATAATCCTCAGTCTGGAACTTGCAAACTAAGATCGAAGTTCAAACTAAGTTACGTTACAAATACAATCTGTCCCCGTTGAGCCGTAATCTGTGCCGTAAATGTGATCGACTTATGAAGCAAATGATTCTCCGTGAAGCAAACTGGTCCAATTACTCATGGCATTTCAATCCTGATTTCCAAAAATCAAACGATTATTTTAGAAATCGACCGATTTGACTTTCGTACAAACGAGCAAAGACGACATAGCGTTTCACACGATAACTCACAAATCCTTTCGCGACATTTGACGTGGATAGGCTGCCGCCCGATTCGCA